CATTATATTCTGAGTAACTTAAACTGTTTATGGGCAGGCATGTGTCAGGCCATTTAGGTTTGTGTAAATTGGAATTGTCACCTTAAATGCACCAGAAAACACAGGTTAGCACGGAAATACAAGTGTAGGGAGGGAGCGAAAGAAACAGTTTTGAATAGAGCATTGAGTAACTCTGAGGTTACTTTAATATTTCGCTAATTATATTTTCTTTCCCACAGAGGGATATACATCGTTTATAAAGATGGAGATGTTGATAGTCCAATGGTCAAAGAAAGGGTCTGGCAAAATAGTGATTTCAACTTTGATAATGTTCTGTCTGCTATGATGGCCCTTTTCACAGTCTCCACCTTTGAAGGCTGGCCAGCGTGAGTGACTTCTCCATATTTTCACAGCATTGTTAAGACCATTGTGTTTCCCAAAACAGTTCACTATCATTTACCAAGCATTTTTGGGCAACTAAACAGTTTTGAGTGACGGTATAAAAAGTTACTGAGACAGAAAGGATAAAACCTTTTCTGTATTTCAGGGAAAGTGAAAAAAGATGGACTATTTTATACTGTTTGATTCCCAATCTTCCAGCTACTTTTGCTATAATGAGCTACTCCTCAGCTCTAATAAAAGTAATAATTTTAGGTGTTTATCCATTGATGCCACTTCAGTAATGCTAGTTTGAAAATTTTAGGCCTTTGAGTAAAGCTTTTACTAAAAAATCGGGCACTAGTCCACTGCATAGAGAAACCTGGGAAGAGCAAACTGCCACTTGTTATTTCCCTAAGTGAGAAAAGTCTTTGAGAATAGCTTTATGTGGGGAAATAAATAAATTAAAACTACAACCATCTGGTCATGACCTTGATTCTTTGAGAATAAAAGATCCTAACAATGTGTGTTGTGATTCTTCTAGTTTCAATATTCTTGTAAGCGCTGTCAGTAACTTGAAAGAGGTAACAGTGAGCAGCAGCCCATTTCTGAAACCTGTCCTGAGTCTGCATATTTTACTGTTTTCTCATTTCAGTGATAATAAAAACAAAATTTTGTTTGCTTTTCAGACTACTATACAAAGCCATCGATTCAAATGGCGAGAATGTAGGACCTGTATACAACTACAGAGTGGAGATCTCCATTTTTTTCATCATCTATATCATCATTATTGCTTTCTTTATGATGAACATATTTGTTGGTTTTGTGATTGTTACATTTCAAGAACAGGGAGAACAAGAGTACAAGAACTGTGAGCTGGACAAAAATCAGGTTAAAATGAATAATGAACTCTTAACTTTTGAAAGTATCCTTTTTTTTTATTTATGCATGAAGAGCTTCCTTCCTGCTCTGGGTCAGCAGAGGGCACCAAACACGTATCTTAGTAGTTATTAATTTGATTTTTTTTTTTTCCACTATTAGCTGGGTGTTAGGGTTATTGTATGTTCCTCTTTCCATAAGTCCAACCTATCAGTCTATTTGTTGTGAAAGGTGTTCATTAAGCTTGTTAGCTTCTTAGTGTCTTGCGTTTTGGTGTCACATTAAGAAGAATGTGACACTTGCCAGGTTATCCCTAGGCAGAGATAGGTTTTACAATAAGAACAGGAAAGTAAATTTTATGTTCTGAATAGTCTGAAAGTGTTGCAAGTTCAAGTGTTCAAAGTGTTCTGCTCCCTGCCCCCATTTATTTAGAAATTCACTGAGAATATTGAGATTAAAATGACTAACATCTGTCCCCTTTTACTGTTTAATCCTTTGACTGAGGAACTGATCAGTCACCAGCCACGATTTTTCAGGTATTCTTGGCTGACTGTAACACACTTCATTTCAAGCTGAGCATGAGAGTTTAGTCAGCATTTATTCTGAGCTGTGTGCCTTTCTCAGTCAGCTTCTGTAAGCATTCCTCAAGAGACAAGTGGAAGTCCCAGCCTACATGAAGATTTCAGGCACTAATAGATTATGAGGTGAATCTGTGATGTTCCTACATGACATGACAAAACCGTGTGACACGTTTTTTTCCTGGGCAGTTTAAAGGAACTATTAGGATTACTACTTCCTCAGAATTTATTTTCCTGACTCTGGGGTTTTATGCTGTGGTTGAAAATGTACTGAAGGCAAACCATGGCTTATAGATGATTTAATAGTCACGTTATTAATAGTCATGCTATGTACTGTGCATACAAGTTATAGTATATTCCTGTGTGTTACTACACTGTATAAGGGCAAGCACCTCAATTTCCATGAGCATTAGTTGATTCTTTGCATGTGGCTGAGTAATGTGTATGGTTAGACACAGTTGTAGAGAACTGAGTGAGGACTGGTAAGTTCCTTGTTCACTTGATTAGCCCTTAATAATAAAAACCCCTACATCAAGTAGATAGACTGCCAGTTTTTGAGAGTTATATTTAACAACTTGCACTTAATTGTATTACCAGTTGATTAGCTGCTAGGTATATTCTGACAGTTTTGATGTGTTTGCTTTGCAGCGTCAGTGTGTAGAGTATGCCTTGAAGGCACGTCCTCTCCGTAGATATATTCCCAAAAATCCTTACCAGTACAAGTTCTGGTATGTGGTGAATTCTACTGGATTTGAATACATCATGTTTGTCCTCATCATGCTGAACACCCTTTGTTTGGCTATGCAGGTAGGAAAACCAGAAAACCCCTTGAAGCTGTTGGCATAAATTGCAGGGAAGGATGTGGGTGATATAATGCCTTTAATTTATGGCAGTGTGTTCTTTTTATGAAGTGAAATTTTTTAAAAAAAGCACTTCTGATCATAGCACATTTCTGTTACATGTTCTAGTTGTCTCTTTCTTTACCCTAGTATTTTAGATTTTGATAAGAAAAAGAATGATTCAAATCCAGTTTACAGAACCATTCTACTTTTTTCAGTAAACTTGCATACACTCTATTTTCTTAAAAATACACCTCCTACACACTGTTATTTGGTGACTAACGTACTTCAGGCTTTCTAAGCAGGTGTGACACAAGGTTGTGTAATTTTAAAACCTTGCAATTAAAACTCAGGGAAATGCTGTTGTCTGATACTCCTTTTTCGAGGCAACAATTTTTCTCTCAAAACCATTTCCCTGGGGATTTCCTTAGGATGTTGAGGAATGACAGTTTTGTTCCACTCAGTGCCTAAACAGAACAGATTTAGTCAATTCCATGCTTGACCAGAGTTATTCAGCTAATCTTGCATGTATATTGGTATGCTTCATAAATTTTACTAGAAAATATTTTCCTGGGCTGCATTTTTTCCAGCTCTGTGTTAGGCTGCATTTCTTTCACTTAATATTTTAAAGCCTTTACTTTTATAAGTGTTTTATGTTTCCTTCACAGCACTATGGACAGTCTAAGCTCTTTAATGATGCAATGGACATTATGAATATGGTTTTCACAGGAGTGTTCACTGTTGAAATGGTTTTGAAAGTGATTGCATTCAAACCCAAGGTAAGTTTAAGATATGCTTTAATTAGGCTATCACCACAGGAATTAAGTATAGTGAGTTTCACACTAGCTGTGTATTAGTCAAAGAACAAAAAGAACCAACATTTCCCACATTTATCTGTCAGTGAAATCATAATAGAAATGTAACTTGAGGAAATGAAATGCAGATATCAGGAAAAAAAAATCTTACAAAGTGGTTGATGAGATCTGGAATATTTTGAGGTAATGAAAATGTCCCTTTCTAAATCAGATAAAGCATTTCCTGTTACAGGCATTACCACATCTCCTGTTCTGGGTACTACACTTATTACTTTACACTAATTTAATCTCCAGTAAAGACCTGTGTTTTGTGTTATATTTCTGAATCTAAAATGCAAAATTATTTCTTTACTTTATAAAATGTAGCCAAGTATTACAAACATACACATAAATAATATGCATATTCAATAGCCTTTTTAGGTTTTTATGTTTTCAGTTATTTAGATACCCAATATTTGGTAGAGGGCCCCACGCTGAGTAGTTGATTCCTTGCCTTAAAGGGACACTGTCAAAATGAATAACACAGACACATTTTCAAAAGTAGATTTGTAAGAGAAATTGGTAACTATAACTACTAATTGAAAAAAGGATGAAATTACACTGTGGCAGCTAATACAGTCTTTGTTCAGTGCTCATGCTGCATTTATGAAGTGCAAAAGTTAATGATGAAAAACTAAACTAAATTTTTTTTCAGTATAATGAAATCAATGTTTATTTGGGGCTTATATCTATGTAAATAACTAAAGTATGTTCACTTGCTATACATGGAGTTTGAAAAAAACCAGATGTGCCATTTGAAGTTTTCTGATCTCACCATCTAAGGCTGGTACTTTTCATTTTCCACTGCCCTTCTTTGAAAGTAACCAGGATATCTGTATTTGTATCTGGCTGTGAACTGTGCCCTTTCTCGGTGTGAAGTAGTGACCTGGGTGACTGTAGGCTGTGTGGGCAGTCTTGTTGTTGCTTTAAACCAGCTAGGTCTCATCTTACAGCATGGCTGGCCCTCAGCTCAGTGTGGAGTAGGTGTATGACTATTTATCAGCTTTTCAAAACTATTTATTCAGCTTGCATTTAGTATTGAGCTTGGCTGTGGAGCCTGAGCTACTTGATTAAAGTGAGCTCATATTTGCCTGCAGAAGTGAACAAATCATGCATCACTCGAGATCTGGTGTTGAGGTGTGAACTGTGGAGTTCTGGGTGAATGCTTACCCACTCTCCCGTAGTCTCGCTCTGCACTGTCCAGTCTATTGTACCTTTCTAATGAATTTATTTGTATTTTTGTGTCAGCTATCTAATTTAAATGCAAAGGGTTTCACATTAAAAATAGCACGATATGAGGCCCCAGAGGAGATAGCTCAGAGATGTGGACCTCAGTGTCATGAGTATGCTGGTTGTGTTTTCCTGATTTGTATTTCCTGTTCTATATCCTTGTTTTGCACAGAAGGTTTTGCTGCATCTAATCATCTGCTCTTTGAAAGAAGATTGTGAATCCTTGTATGGTTCTCCATGCACTTGTGACTGTAGTCAGAAACAGCAGCTAATGCAAAATACAGTGGTCTGATCATGAGTGTACAAATCACAGTGCTCCATTTGTACTGTGGGCTTCCTCCTTGTTAGCAAATGCAATGTCTTAATACTGGTCTCTAAGACTTTGTACGATTTGAGTTTGAATTCTGTTGCAACATGCTTTCTATCTGATTGGATGCTTTTACTGTGAGAGATCCCTGGATCTGAACCCTGAGAGTTTAAAGGGCAAACACTGCCAGTGAAAGGTCCTCATTTCCTCAATTTTGTTCCCTCCTAGATGCAGAACACCTTAAACTTGTTAATTAGCAGGACAAGGTTAAAAGGCCATGGTATTAATCAGACTTTTGGAAGAGACTAATTAGCAGGAAGGGAAGGGAGTTAAATATTTCTAAGGTTGTTCCTGTTATTCTTAGGAGATTGGAACCTCTTAAATTGTCAGATACTCTTTACCAAAACACCTATTGGCAACATCTTTTTCATAGTTCATTAATAATTACAAATCAGCTAGCAGTCTGAAGCAGAACATGAATGTCTTTAAGTACTCTAAATTTTAAACTAGATACATGCTTAAAACCACAATTTCTTTAACTCCTATTAAGGTTTAATAATAGTAGGAACAATCTGAAACACAACTTAATGTTCTTCTTTAGGGTCCACGAGGCAAGACTGATTAATTTCTTCTATGTCTGTCACTGGTGGGTCCCTTAGACTAGTGTGACAGAATGAACAGTTTTATTTATTAATTTTCTGCATTAAAAATTATTTGAAAGCATCAAATAAAAATTCCACTACTCTCTAAAAATAAGAATATATAAAAAAACCTGTTAGTTTTTATCTCATCTGCTTGACAGTGTCCCCTTAATATGTTGACAAGAATCCTGTGGAAACTGTGATCTTTTGGTTTCACTGGTGATGTAAACTTAAGGCTACTCTAAGTTACTGCTGCTCTTGCTATGATCCTGTGTTGTTTGAAGCCAAGGCACTGCAGGTTGCCTTCCAGCTCTGAAATACATAAAACTTCAATAGGTGCTAGATATTAAAGGTGGTGCTAAGTGTCTGGCACACTTGATTGGGAGATTGGATCACAGTGCTTTGCAGAATGAGGCCCTAAACTTTTCAACAGAGCACTAAAGGGACTGAAATATTTACGTGTTAGATCTATAGAAACATATTTTAGTGTTAATTCTCTATGCGTACGTATTCCCCAGGATTTGAGATTTTGTCCTCCAGCATTTGTTAATGAACAAATTTTTCATAATATAATTTAAAAGAGAAAGCCTTTTTTTCTTAACATTGTTCTTCACATTTGCTAAAGTCTGTTACTTAGCATGGTTTAGTGCAGTACAAAGTAAAATACAGCTGTGAAATCTCAATACATCAACACATACCGTATGTACAGCTTCATGATAGTTAGCTGTTGCTTAAACTTGTAATAATTTTCCATGTCGTTTTACATCAGATTTTTGTAAAAAAAAAGGAAAGATGGCTAGTAAGTGAATTGATCTTGGGTCATTGCAGTGGTGAAAACAACTTATTTGCATGATGTTTATTTGCTGTGACTTGTCCATTCCTCCCTTTTCCAAAACCATCTTTATTTTCTCTTAGTTTTTTGTTTATTTGTGCTTTTGCTTTACATATTACTTTGAACAATATTTGTCTATACTGATGGAAAAGGTTTCATAAAATAAATAATTAAATGTGTGAAGTATTTTAGCTGTAAAGTATTTTAGCTGTATTAAATCAAAATGTGAATTTGTTATTTCAGTGCTTTATATTGTAGCATGCCTAGTAAAGTAACTTTTTCTATAGCTGCAATTAACTGTTATTTGGAGGACCTTTTTTGGTTCCCATTGTTATAGAGGAAGATGGATAGCACACCTCAGGATTGTGGTGATTGTGTGTTTGCTGTTTGCCAATAGTCTCTTATTTTGTGTGTATATATAAACATTGCTGTTTTAAAATCAAGGAAGTTACTTAGAAATAAGGACTATGAATGATCAGGAAGAATATTATGAGAGTAGCTCCCTTGATTTAGTTGGCAGCTGCTAATCTTGTTAGGATCATAAATTTCAGTATTGTTGAGGTGGTTCAGCATAATGTTTAGGAAAACTTTGGGAGCAATTTGTTCTCATGCAGCAGGTTGAGTAAGGAAGGAGTGATAGGGAATTGTGCAGGAGCTTTTGTTCAGGAGGCCAAATCCATGGACACTGGCTCTTGCCCCAAAACTGGAATTGATGGTTAATCCCAAAGAACCAAAGCATGCACTGTAAAGGGCTGTAGAGTTCATCACACCCTGATCTATTTTCCTCTTACAGCTCCTTCCTTAAATAAAGGAATGATTATGGCAATTTGTGTTGTGAAAGAGCTAGAAGAGAGAAGCATTAGTGACATAATGAGTCTCTCCTGACTCTGCTCAGTGCTTCCTCTGCTAGAATAGACTCTAGAGCTGTTGTCTACTGTAGCAGCTCTCTCATAGTCTCCGAGAGCAAATTTCCACACAAAATTAGCTTTTTTTCAAATAGTAATGCACTCAAGTGCATTACTTGAAACTGAAGTTACTAAAGCTTAAAACAGTTTAAAATAGTGAGAAAAGTATCAGTCCAATTCTAAAAAATATTTGGGACTGATTTTGCTTTTCTGTGCTAGGAAAATATGTAAGAACTTCAATTACTCAGCTAAAACATTATCTTATAGTAAACAGTGTAATAATAAGTGTAACTAGACATAAGGTTAGATTAACACATTTGTAATTTTAAACTTCTTGCTACATTTTTTAGTTTAGGGCTTAAATAGAGACTGTCAGGTTAGTATTTTAAAATTAATTACCAGGAAAGCAGAATGTATGAGTACAAAATGTGCATTTGGTCATGTAATGCACATTCCTTAGTCATGGTTGGCTGATAAATTAATATATCTGAATGAGATACAGAGCAAGTTCAGGAATTCTTGCAGTTCTGGATTTCTGTAATAACTAGGCAAAATCTACATATTGCAGAAAACCTCCATATGTTTTCTCCACAGAGTTGTTTTCAAGAGTGTAATACATTTTGATTTTTTCCCAGTGACACATTGATCCTGGAACCTAATGCAAGGCTTCTTCTGAAATATCTTTTTGCTCAAAACATGCAGTTTTGATGCAAATAGTCAGCTAATTGCATGATAGCACTTGATAACCCTTTGCAGCAATGTCCCAGCAACATACACATGGGGAATATATTTAAAGCCATAAAATGTCCGAAGGATGATTAAGCAATTTATGAAAATGAATTTTTAGACATTGGACTGGCTGAACCAAAAGCATGAAGAAATTGTGCAGGTTGCTGTGGTTCCTAACACTGACTTCACTGGTCACAGAATCAGACTGCAAAAGTAGTATGAATTCCTATCTCAAACCTAGTTGATGAACAGAAGATTAAATCAGTTCTCTAATATTTATGCACAGTTTCACATTAATAATTGTGCATGATTAGCCAGTAATGAGCTTTGACCCTTTGAATATTTTTACCAGTCACTTAGATAGATCTATCATAAAATCCTTAGCATTAAGGAGGTTTCAATTGGCTTGATCTTGCAGAAATACTACGAAAGGGATCTTGTTGTGCTCATTAGGATATATATGTTAGAATTTTTCAGCCTTGCTGGAAGTCCAAAGCCAGTTTTGGATGATGACTTGCTTGCCAATGCTGTGCTTATCCAACAGTGTATTCTGCATGTGTTGTGTGTGTGTGTGTGTGTCTGTGTGTGTGTCTGTACATGTATATATATGAAGTATATATATACACACACATGCACATATATGTTGCTTTTCCTTCAGTAGGCAATATTGTTTGGTTTTGTTTTGTTTTCTCATTAGACCACAGGTTTTGTTTAACTAATTTCTGTTTATGCAAAACTAAACAGAAGTATGCAAATATTTGACATTTCATGTGTAATCACAAACGTTTGCACCCTGCCTGCTCTGTTCAGGGCTATTTTAGTGATGCCTGGAATACGTTTGACTCCCTCATCGTTATTGGCAGCATAGTAGACGTCGTTCTCAGTGAAGCTGATGTGAGTATATCCCAGCTTACTTTCCCCAGTCCCTACTTCTCTTTCTCTGTCTCCCCACTATTTCCATCATCTGGACAAGTCACAGATTTTGATCTGATGTTTCTAAAGTTTGACTACAGACCAGTCATAGGTCAATTATGTTGATATGGGAAATAAATAGCCTTTTTTTTCTACCAATTTTTTTTTAGCTATGAAAGGGAAAGATTAAATTGTATAGTGGTACATCAGAGAAGCCTAGAGTGTTTCTGTGTTATAACACTGTCCTTTTCTTCTCTTTTTCTGTTTGTGTTTTTCTCTTGCTCTCTTTCTGCTGAATGCTTGTCCTAACAGCACTATTTCACTGATGCATGGAACACTTTTGATGCCTTAATTGTTGTTGGTAGCGTCGTTGATATTGCTATAACAGAAGTTAATGTAAGTAGCAACTGTTCATGCACTAAAAAATAATTGCTGTCATCAAGAAATACAGAAAATGTAAACTTTATCCCCCCAAAAATCCTTTTTTAGAAAAGTATGTTTAATCCTGGAATCAGAGACTAAAACATTGATACAGATGTTTGTATAAACTATTATTATCTATCTATATATCTGTGTACTTGCACATGCACACAGCACAGTGTGACAGTGAGAATTATGTTTTTCTATATATGTACAGAAAACATTTAAAAATTTTATGTATAAAAAAGGAATTAAGCTTCTGTTACTATTTTACTTGAAGCCAAGTGGGTTTTGTAGGTCATTTGACCAAGATAATTCAAGATTCTATAAATTGTTTCAGGGTCTCAGTTTAACAAATAATGATTTCTTTTTCTGTGGGAGGTTTTGGGCTTTAGAGTGATGTTAGCATTCATGTCTCATGAGGTAGCAGTAGAGGGGCATATAAGAAAGGCTTTTCATGCTGTGGGAAATAGAATGTGTATTTTTTCCTATTCCTTTTGCTTTCCCTGTCCTGCACTAAGTGTTTTGAAATTTGAATTACTCTTAAAGTACTTGGGCCCATCCTGCACCAGAATTTTGGCTGATGTCCATTACACATCTAGGTGTTTGGACAACAGATCCACCTTAAAATTGCTTTCTGATCTTACTCAATTCTATGAGAATCTCGTGACTGACTGCATTACTGGAAAAAAAAACAACCAGAGGAGTGATGTTATAGCATGGGAGCAGAAGAACCTTAGCCTGACCTGTAGGTTTCAGTCTGATTTTGCTCAGTTCTCAGCAGGCAGTGGATCTTCCTGTGAACTGAAAGAACTTGAGCTGGCAGGGGGGGTCAGTCAGTATAGAACTGGTGTCCCACTGAAACATTTCTTAAGGTATAATTACTCTTCATGGAGCAGATTTTTAAAAGCTGCCTCTGATTTATTTTTACTGGGTTTTTTTCTTTGTTTGGTTTTGTGTAGGGTGGTTTTTTCCCCTGAAAAGTTTGGATTTAGACTTTCAGCTCAAGTATTTACAGCTTACCCACTATTTCCTTTCATAGTAGGACTAGTGTAGATGAGCAGAGTATCTGAGGAGAGTAAAAAAGACCAGTCATTTAGAATATCTTTCCC